TTGAGACGGAGTTTCGCTCTTGTTACCCAGGCTGGAGTGCAATGGCGTGATCTCGGCTCACCGCAACCTCCGCCTCCTGGGTTCAGGCAATTCTCCTGCCTCAGCCTCCTGAGTAGCTGGGATTACAGGCACGCGCCACCATGCCCAGCTGATTTTTTGTATTTTTAGTAGAGACGGGGTTTCACTATGTTGACCAGGATGGTCTCGATCTCTTGACCTCGTGATCCACCCACCTTGGCCTCCCAAAGTGCTGGGATTACAGGCGTGAGCCACCGCGCCCGGCCGTGTAGTCATTATTTCAAGCTGTCTTTTTGTTAACCATTTTTAGAGCATGTGACTTAGGTGTTGACCTAAGTAAGAACTTCAAAGTAAATATATGGGCTTTTTGCCAATAACTCAGAAGATACAGCCGTTTTCACTAAATAAATAATATTAAAAGTACATTCTATGTCCTTGTACTTTAACCAAGATATCTGTGCTGGATATGCTCACAGGCACGTCGCAGCTCTCTTGCATTTACCTGTTTAGAAAAGTTTTAAGTTGTTAGCCAATCGGGTTTTAGTTTGGATTGTGAGGTCTGGCACCAGCCAACAGAGATCAGACACAGCAGAAAGGACGACTCCAAATGCATAAAGAATAAATCTCAGTTTTCCTTTGTTCAATGTGCTCTGGTGGCAAGATGGTTAACAAAAGTTCCCTTCCTGCAGTCCAGGAAGTAAAAATTTGTGTTGCTGGAAGATCCTTTGTCTTAGTGCTAATTTTTGTTTGCAGCACCGAACACCTATTTCCAAAATGAACCAAATGTTGGGTAAAGTAGTTAGAATCAGTTACTATTATACTGGTTGAACAAAGAATAGTTAGCTGTGAAAATGTGACAAAATTATATGAGGCTTAGACTATAAGAGTTAGTCTTAAAATGTCTGTACAGGATTCTCTTGGTCTCAATTTCTCACCCTTGAAGGTAGAGTGTTACCTTTGCTTCTGGTATAGGGAGAATGTCTTTTACATGGAAATTTCATCCTTTGCTTTAAAGAAACAGCACAAAGGTCAAAATGATTTTTTTGAAACCTTCTGTTTTCAAGCGTCTTTACATAAATAGTCAATATGCAAGAATACCGAGAAGCTTAGAAAAAGGAGAATTTAGCTTAGAGAGAGATAAAGAGGAGGAGGTGTAGGAATGGGAGAGGAAGACTCCAGACAGGAAGGAATCTCAGCTTGCTTTGAACCAGTATCTTGCAGAGAGGCAGTTTGAATCAGAATGCGCCTAGAGCTTCAAGGAACACATTGAAATATGCTGCTAGTTCAGATGGCTTAATTTTAGGCCCATGGTCTCATAATTTGGCCCTAAAAGACAATTTGGGGGAACTCAAAAGACTCCCAGTAAAGCAACGTTGTTGTCTGGGGTAAATATCCGAGGTTCATTGCCTCATGCCCAGGAAATCAAGGACACGGACACACCACATGTGGAGTGAGGTTAACAGTGGAGGTTTAATAGGCAAAAGAAAGAGAAAGGAGAACAGCTCACTCTCCTATGAAAGAGAGGGGCCCTTGACGCCGCAGCGGTGGCAGAGTATACAGGGTTTTATAGACAGGCTTGAGGAGGTGGTGCCTTATTTACATAGGGCCCAAAGATTGGTTGGATTAGGTGCAACGTTTACATACTGTGAGGAAACTGGCCACCCCACCCTAATCTTTTATTATGCAAATTTGGTCTCCACCAGGCCGGCACCTTGTTGCCTGCTCCTTACCGTGCACGTGATTGACGAGGCGAGGGGAAGGTGGAGCCACCATGTTGGACCTGCCTGGCCCCAGCCACGGTTTTCCTATTGACACAGCTGTTACCATTCAGCCATGCAAGCTTCCAGCTTGCTTGTCTATATCGGCAGCTTGATTTTACAAGCTGCTCTTTGTTAGAAAAGAAAGTAATTTGGAGGCTGCTTTTCATTAAAAAGAAAACTTACCAAGGACTTCCTTCCCCTCACTATCTGCCTGAATAATTTCTCCTTAACTCCTATATCACCAGGAGGGCCGTGAAAGATAGAAGTAGCTTAGGTGTACTCTGTCCCTTGATTTGAAAGCACTTCCAGCCTCAGTCACTGAGCAGCAGCCAAGGACTTAGCAGCCTCCCCTCAGAGTCTTCTCACTCCCCCACGCTGTCCCCCTCACACTGCCTTCTCCTGTCACACCACTGCCTTCCGAAAAGGAATTGTCTCGAATGTCCACTATTCAGAACCTCCAGTCTTTCCACCCCTTTGCTGATGGAAGTAAGTGATCTTACTTGCATCAGCAAAGGAGTGGAAAAACAGCGAAGGGGTGCAAAGGGGAGTGATGACCTGCTCCCTGCAGGCACTGAGGATTAGATCCATGCAAGAATTCAACCGAGAAATGACAGGAAACCCCTTGGTACTATCCAAGGGATCACTGAGGATTACAATAAAAAGCAACTAGTGAAGGCATTTAAGAGGAAATTTGTCTGCAATCGGATTGTAACTGAGCATCGAGAATATGGAGAAGTAATTCAGCGACAGGGTGACCAGTGCAAGAACTTACGCCAGTTCCATGCAGAGGTCGGACTGGCTTAGGACGATCAGCTGATGGTTCAAGGGTTTTAGGTACATGTGGCTCATGGAAACTTAAGTGAGGATTTCCATGCAATGGGTAGAATTTCCCTTCCTTCCCTTGTTACAAGTTTAAAAACCTCACAGTTTGTCTAATGTAACCATTTGGAGTCTGCTTTTAACTTGGACTAGTGTAATTCCTTCAAGCAATAAACTGAAAAAATGAACATTAAAAAAATAAAAAAACATCCGGCTGGGCGAGGTGGTTCCTGTCTGTAATCCCAGCAGTTTGGGAGGCTGAGGCAGGAGGATCATCTGAGGTCAGAAGTTTGAAACCAGCCTGGCCAACATGGTGAAATGCTGTGTCTATTATAAATACAAAAATTAGCTGGGCATGGTGGTGGGTGCTTGTAATCCCAGCTACTCGGAAGGCTGAAGCAGGAGAATGGCTTGAACCCGGGAAGTGGAGATTGCAGTGGGCAGAGATTGTACCACTGCACTCCAGCCTGGGTGGAAGTGCAAGACTGTGTCTCAAATAAACACATACATACATACAGAAAAACATTGCCAAGGGAGGACAATGATTTTCAAACATGTTGCCAGCTGAAGTCCCACAAGAGGAACCATTATTGCCTACTCCTTGGGTGCTCAGAGCCTTATGTTGGGGCTGCCCCAGCTCTGGGTGGGTGGGGTGTCAAGAGAGAAATGCCCACCCTGGTGTCCTTGTCCTCAGTGGGCCAATGCTGAGGCCCCCACAGGACTGCACCTCAGTTGCCTACAGTGATAACCTCCTTGTTTGTGCAAGCTCATTGGTGTTCCTTCCTTCCCTGCCTCGGTTTCCTAACTTCCTGCAGTCACCTCCCAGATAAACTACCTGCACCCACATCCTGGTGCTAGGTCAGCCTGGGGGGTCCGTGGTAAGATCAGGATGTCTGGCGTTTCTGTGCTGGATCCTTGGTGGGTGAGGAGTGTCAGGATCATTTCCTCCAATGCACACCCCCCTACTCCTGGCCTCCCAGCTCCTGGCACCCTGGAACTACTCCTGTTCCATTGCCGGGCACGACGTTCGTCTATAACTTCAGCTACTCAGGAGGGTGAGGCGGGAAGATTGAGACTAGCCTAGGAGTTCAAGACCAGCCTGGGCAACGCACAGTTCTCTTTCTGATTCAAATCACCGGATGGTTCTATTGGGCAGCACAGATGTGGGTGTCAGCCAGGGGCATGGATGGAAAATGAGCTGTCCGTGAAGCCACCGCGTTTGAGAAATGCTCTGCAAGGCGTCAACTCAAATGTGTTTATTACCAAACAAGACAGAAGAGAACCAGGGCCTGACTTAGCAGTGGCGCCAGCCTGCATGGGCTCGGGTGGGCTCAGGCCGGCTGCAGGAGTGGGGGAGCCCAGAGAAGAGGGAGAAAGAGCAGCAGGCGGGAGGGGTCTGGCCGGGCCATGCCACTCTGGGCCATCAGCTTCTGAATCCACCCGAAGTGCTGGCTGATATTGGTGTAGACACCGGGCCGATTGGGCCGGCCGCAGCCCACTCCCCAGCTCACAACTCCAACCTGATACCACTTTCCGTTCTTGTCACAGGCCAGTGGTCCGCCTGAGTCACCCTGGAGAGCCAGAGGGGCATGGGGGTGAGGTCAGCCTGGGGTAGAGTGAGTGGGGCAGGGGAGAGGCTGAGAGTGGGAGGGGCTGTGGGGCTGGGTGGGCTGGGTGAACGTCCTCCTCCTCCCCCTGGCAGCAGCCAAGCCTCCGTTTCTGGGTCTGCAGAGTGGGGCCACAGTCTCCACCTCCTGGGGTTAACCTGAGGGTCCAATAAGGCACAGGGACACACGTTGCTTTCAGGCCCCAAGCTGGGAATGGTGGCAGGAACACTCACAAAGCAGGAATCCTTCCCGCCTTGGGCATCGCCAGCACAAATCATGTCTCCAAAGATGTCCATGCGGAAATCGTACTTCAGGAAGAGGTGGTTGCACATAGTGTTGTTTATGATGGCAACCTGCACTTCCTGGAGGGTGTAGGGATACGGCAGCTCTGTGGAGACGATGGGGGAAGGAGAGGGACAGCAACCTGAGGCTCCTCTAGGAAGGGATGGAATAGGCTTCGGGGGTGGGCCCTGGGGCACCCACAGCACCTGGCAGCTCATCCTCATCAGCCCCAGCTCCAGCCCAGCCCCCAGCACTGCAGAGGCTCTCAGCATCTTCATCACAAAAGGCCTGGGGGATGGACAGGCTGTCAGAGCTCTCCCCAGCCTCACTTTTCCTATCTGCAGAATGGCGACAGCGGCCCTGCCTGCGCCCATGGAAAGATTCCTTAGCCAAAAGGAGCAGGGGGAGGGAAGAAGGCAGCTGAGATGATGTTAAGATGAGCACCCAAGGCCAGACCCAGGGGCGGGGCGGGGGGTGGCACCAGCCTGGCTGCAGCCCTGCCCTCAGTAGCAGCTGGGCGCGTTCAGGACCTGGGCACAAGCTTGTCGTGCACCCTTAGGGCTCCCCCAGCACCCCTGGGAGGCAGCAGTCATCAGGACTCATTCCCAGATAAGGAGAGTCAGGGGGATATCGCCCGGCAAGGCGCTGGGGAAGTCTCAGAGCCTGACAGGAGCCCACCCCTATCCAGTTCCTGCCTCTGAGTCCCAGCCAGCACCTTGTCCTGCAGAGGATGACAAAGAAGTCAAGACCCAGCCTGCAGGCAGCGCTTCCCATTGGCGGAGACTCTCCTCAGCCCTCAGGATTAACGACCTGGGAACTAGCCTGTGATGTGGAACTATTGTTTCTCAATTTCACAGGGGAGGAAACTGAGGCACCATGAGATGAACAGCTTTGTCCAAGGCCTCACAGCCAGTCCAGGGCAGAGCAAAGGCACACACCAGGCAGAGGGCTCCAGAAATGCCTGCCCCCCGCCTCCCAGGCACTATGACTTGAGGCACAGCCTGAGGTTGGTGTGACTTGCCCACCCTGGGCCTGGGAGAGAGGGTGGCAGAGGCAGCCTGGCTATGCCCCTGGCTCACACCCACCCATCTTTGCAGCAGGGGCCCTTCTCAAGGAAGGGAAAGGACCCCTCCTCTAGAGGAAGGCGGCTCCAGTGCTGAGTTCTCTACTCCCGATTCCAACTGCCAGGGTGTGACTTGGGGATATCCTTTACCCTCTCTAAGGCAAGGGTCCCTGACTTTTCCATTTACTAGTTCTTGGCAATTTCCATAACCCTATCAGTTTTCTCATCTGTAAAATGGGTATAAAAATGTTGCCAACTCAATTCCTAGGTGAGTTCCAGGAGGAAGAGAGGCCTCGTCTGGCTCACTGCTGGGTCCCCAAGCCTAGAACAGTGCCAGGCACACAGTGTGTGCTCAAGGAACCTCATGTTATTGTTACTATTGTTGTGGGCCAGACCGGGGAGCAGAGGGCAGTGGATTCCTGATACAGGGAACACACTCAGTCTGGGGCTGCCGGCCCTGGGGCTCCTCCCGATGCTGGGCCCAGTTCTTTCAGGGCATGCATGTTGGGAGACACGCAGGTGCCAGGGCAGGTCCACTGGAGGACCCTCAGAGGGGTTTCCATGGGAGCTGCAGTTGAACAAGGCTTGGAAGTTTCTAGGAGAGATGAATGGGCCCAGTGCTCCAGGAGAATTGACCAGAGCTAGGGTGGATGAAGGAGGCTTGGCGAGGCAGCCAGGGAGCCTGATGCCTGCAGCACTGGTGGGCACCAGGGGAGGTGAAAAGATCCAAGAACAAATCCAGGTCTGAGGTTTATGTCACCAAGCCCTCCAGAACCCCTCCACCACGCGCAGGCCTGCGCCAAGCTGACCCCCACAGCCCCTGGAGGGGAGAGAAATGGGTGTTTGGTCCCTACCCTGGCAGATGAGGGGAGAATGTGAGCAGGAGGGGCGTAGGCTGCCCCCAGACCAAGCATGGGGCTGTTGCACCTATGAAGGAGAACAGGCAAACAAAGATAGCTCCTCCCTGACCCGCCTGTCCCCAGCCTCACCCTCGTCCTCTTGGATGTTCCCCCAGCCGGTCACCCAGCAGTCCGTCCGGTTCTCAAACTCAAGTGTGGATGCCAGGAGACAGATGGGCTGGATATGGTTAGTGTAGGTGACGGGTGTAGACAGCTTCAACAAGGCAATGTCATAGGGTGAATTCCCCAGGTATCGAGGGCTCAAATAGATATTCGACACGAAGTACCGGGTGTAGTAGGCCTGCAGGCTCCAGAAGGATGGCGCAGAAGTCAGCTGGCCAAACTGGACCGTCCACCCGGAGGAATCACCAATGTCACCATACCTGGTAGACGAGAAGAGAGCAGTCAGAGACCCTGGATGGAGGGCTGCCTGCCTGAGCACACCTGGGGCCTAGCCCAGGAGGGAGACTGTGGAGTTGCTACTACTTGCTCATCCGGGGCATCATAGCAAGTCCTTCTCATGGCCCAGGGTCCACTGGAGAAATGAAAGAGCCCAGAGAGGCCACACGCAAAGTCCTAGGACCTGCTTCTAGAGCAAGAGGGTGGGGTCTTGTCACTTCCCAGAGCTGTTCCAAGGACACTTGCATTGAGCCAGGGGCCTCCAGGGGCACCCCCATGCAGCCCAAGGAGAAATGGGCAGAAGCACCCGTGGCAATGCAGCTTGGTGGAATGAAGTCCACACAGCTTCCCCAGGGAGCTGGCCTTGGCTCAGTGCCCACACCTGCATTGCAAGTCCACCAGGAGTGGGGATGAGGGTGTGATGGAAGGTGGTGAACTTTGGGTTGAAAAAAAGAGAGAGAGCATACCAAAAATGGCGTGGAAAGGTTCTGGAAGAACATTCTGGAAGAACCTGAACAGGGTTTCCTCCAGGGGAATCAAAGGGAGCTGGAATGGGTGTAACCGACTGCATCAGAGCCTAGGGCTCAGTACACCAGGTCGCATCCACGAACAACATTCACGCCCAAGTGTGGCATCAGAGCGTTGGTAACGTTAAGTGGTACTCCCCACCCCCAACCCTGCTGCTGCCCGCCTCTGCACCGCTCCGTTCGCATACCCACTCACAAGTCAAAGCAGTGCGCCGCCGTGAGCGCCCAGCGGCGGCTGAGCAGGCTCGCTCCACACACGTGGGAATCCCACAGGCGCAGGCTCCCCTGCCATGGCCAACGCCCGAGCTCGGCGTCGCCTCCACCCACGATGCGCGTCTGGATGATCCGTTGGCCGCATGGTCCTCAGATGGTCAGAGCAACTGCTGAGCTGCGGGAGGCCGCCCCCCAAGCCCAGCCTCTCCCTTTCTCTCCTTCAGCCCAGTCCGGGAAACCACGTTTTGCCCACCCAGGGTCCCCTCCGCGTGTGCAACAGGAAGTAGATGACACGGGGGACCCTCCCACGTGGTCCGTAGGGCCCGCCCATCCCCCCCAACGCCCATTAGTTGCTTTCAACACCAACAGAGTTCTCAATCTCGGGAGCCGGGGCCAGAGAGCAGTAGATGGACCCCCCCATCCCCATGCATCCCGGCCCAGCGGCCCTGACAAGCATCGCGGGTCCTGGGGGCCCTACCTGACAACAGCTCCCCTTCCGGCGACGCTGTAGGAGACAAGAAGTGAGCTCCCCGCGGCCTCCAGCTACCCAACGCCCCCCTACGCCGTCCTGCCAGCCACGCCCCGAGCTCACCCGGCTTCCCGAGTCCCTCCCGCGCCAGCAGCAGCGCCAGCAGAAGCGCCCCTCGAGGGCCCATGGCCTCCTCTCTCGCGGCCTGGCGCCCCCTCTGCCTCCTCCCGCGTCGCGCCTGGGGCGCCCCCTGGGGGCGGGGCGGTGGGAGCTCTGCCCCCCCCCCCCCCCCGCCCCCGCTTCACCCGCCCTCGGCCCAAGGGCTGTTTAGGGACCCTCAGGCCTGGCAACGCCCTGGTTTTCAGCCCCTAGGGGCGGATCCTCAACCACATTCGTTGATGTGGCCCAGACTTGGTGGACAACACAGTCCCTTTTTTGTCTGCAACCCTGAGGTCCTGGCTGCCCGCTTGGTGCCCCCTGTCCTCCACCCATGACCTCCTCCAGCATCAAGGGCCTGGCCCTAAGCCAGGAGTCCTCTTAAAGCCTGGGGGCCCCCGAGGGCCGGGTGGGGCCTGGCAGCATTGCTGGTCCTGCACAGGACTTTCTTGGGAAAACAATGGTCCTGGGCCCCTTCCTCCCAGAACGGGGATGGCCAGTCCCCACCTGCCCAGGCTGACCCCATTGAGGGCTCCAGCTGGGTTCTCCTCCCTCCTCCAAAACGAATCTTTTTTTTTCTTTTTTTTTTTTTTATTCAGACAGAGTTTTACTCTTGTCGCCCAGGCTAGGGAAACCAGAACCCGGGAACCCACCTCCCTCAACATGAAACTTGGGTATAGTTTATTCTATTTTCAACACTTGCACTCGTGGAATGTTAATTACATGAAAGACTGGAAAAAAAAAAAAAAAGACTGAGCAAAATGTGTGGTTAAGTGTCCTGGTTTTCCAATAAAAGTATTGAGTTTCTCTGGGGAAAGTGCAGATAAAATGCTTCGGCTGAGCGTGGCACCAACGGGAACTCAGTGAGTGTGGCGGGCTGTGGGAGCTGCGGGTTTCCGGAGCTCAAGGCTGCGGTGCCTTCCCAGGGTCCTCCTCCCCAGCAGCAGGCACTCAAGGGCAAGTCACATGCACAGCCCGGCCTCAGCCTGCTGGGGTCAGGGCAAAGACCCCTGGGCTTCTGATGCTGCTCCTCCCCCATCCAGCAGGACCTTCCCTCTGGCTTCTGAGCCCCAGGGAACCCCTGAGGCCCCTGGGAGAAGTCAGCTCCTGGCTTAGCTCAGAGTCTCAGCCAGGCCAGGTCTCCCTGGAGATTCGACCAGGGACTCGGGTTCCTGCCTCCAGTGAGGCTGGGAGATTCCCTCAGAGGCCCAGCCTTGATCCCAGGCTGCAGAGGGTCCACCCACTGAGTGGGTGTAGATGGAGACCCTCCTGTCTGCTGTGGCTCAGGCTGCAAAGCCACAGAGGGGTCTGTGTCGGGGAGACCCCATAAGTGCAGAGGCAGGAGTCAGAAGCCTCAGCCTATTTCCATATAAATAATGAAGAAGGAAAATAACTAGAGATATAACCGTAGTAGTTATTCACAGGTAATCTTAATTATTCATACGTGATCTTAGTTATTCATAGGTGATCTTAGTTCTTTTACTAATGCCTTTCAGGTCACAAAGTGTGAACCTGGGTTGACATTGTGAAAGGAATGACCCTAAGGCAAGACACTTTAAGCCCTCTGTCACGCCAGTGTAAGGGCTGCTGGAGGGCGCCTCGGCTGTGCAGCAGCGCCAGAGCTGGGAAAATGCCTGCTATTTAGCCAGTTGGGGAAGGAGACATCCAAGATGGCTGAGATGTCTCCTTCCTCGAGGGGGTTAGCAGAAAACTCTGCTCCTCCAACCTCTTGCGGCAGGCCTGACGGCTGTCAGGGAGGCCCACAGACATCCAGGGGCTTAACTGTCTCTGTGTGGTGCTGTGCTTCAGTGGTCATGTTCCAGGTCCACTCTCATGTTCCGCTTCTGCACCTGGTTCCTTTTTTCTTACAAGAGATAATCAGTAAAAGTAATATAAATCTTAATGTCTTTGTTCTTTCTTGACAAGTATGGAAAAGTGCTGACGCATTATGCTTCTTACGTCATCTTGGCTACTAGAAAGCCTTGGGCTCCTACCTATATGACACGTGATGTACTTGACCTTATCACCGACCACCAGTGCCATGCTCTACCTGCCCTGCCCCCAGCTTTGTAATCAACAAAAGTCAGAGTGTCCAGGCACTCAGGGTCACTGCTGGACTCTGCACTTCGATTGGCACTGGACCCCTGGGCCCCAACTTTCTCTCAATCTCCGTATCTTATGTCTTTTATTTCTACAGTTTCTTGTCTTCACACTAGCAGAGAGAGGCTCAAAGGACCCTGTAGGGCTGGACCTTACAGGGGTCTTCCCAAGCCCTACACCTGGAAGGCAGGGAGGCCAGGAGCTTGTGGCTTTAACCCAACCCCTGACCCAGAAGGGCCAGCGGGCCCGGGGCCACCTCTGTGGGCAGGAGAAGGCCTCATTGTTCCCGCTCCTGGCAGAGTGAGGACTGGGGCGTGCCTGGGGCAGGAAATAAATGCTCAGTAAATCCCCCTCCTGGGGAGCCCTGATCCCGAGGGACAAAGGGCCTCTGTTGAGTCTCCCTGAGGACGGGCTCAGGGCCAGCACTTGGGCCAGGGCAGATGGAGGGGGCAGGGGGAGTGGGGGTGGTGCCTCCCACCAGGTGGGCTTGCTCCCTAGGTCGGGACACGCAGGTGAGGAGGAGTGTCCTCATATGTGCACGCCCCCTGAGTGCAGGAGAGGCTGGGCGGGCGCGTGTGTCTGGGGCATGCGTGTGCTTGCATCTCCAGTTGCACGTGTGTGAGTAAGCGTGTGTGATCCCCGTGCTCGGGCCGTCTGAACAGCCCTCCAGTGGGCATTTGGGCGAGTCTCCACACCCCTCTGGCCAGGCTCTTCCTCCAAGTCCCCCCAACCCCAGCTGCTGCTTCTGGAGTCCTGGCCCAGACGACTCACCTTCTGGGCACCAAACCCTGCCAGCCTGGAGTTAGAAACAAGGCCCCTGAACTGCCAGCAAACTTGGGAAGGCGCCCTCGGGCTAGGCTGGGTCGAGAACACAACCCGATTTGTGCCGCCTTCGAGCTCCTGCCTCTGAGAGCTGTGCTGGCCAAGGACCTGGCCTCTTCCGCCTCTACCTACCTGGAGGAGGCTCCTCCTGAGCGGGGCTCCGCTGACCCTTCCCGGGCCTGGCCCCTGCTGTCCCCAAAAGTCAGAGGGGCTTTGGGGGGTGCAGAAGGGTGGCAGCAGAGGTGCAATTGGGACCTTACCTTGACAACCCAGTCATTGGAAGCCCAGCCCTGACCAGCCCCTCCAGGGAGATGGTGCAGGTGCCAGAACAAGGGCCAGGTGCCAAGACTGATGTGCTGCTGTGCTCCTGCCTCATCAGGGCTGGGAGTCACGGGTGCCCCCTTCCTTACTCTGCCGTCCAGCACCATGGACAGGGCTTCTGTGGTTCTTTAGGAATAGGTATCCACCAGGGTGGGCGGACTTTTTGTGTGAGGGGCCAGATAGTACAATTTTAGGTTCAGAGGCTGCAGGTCTCAGTCACAGTCATGTTATGCTTCTGTGCAGGCATGAAGGCAGCCCCAGGTCACATGCCAGTGATCACCCATGGCTGTGAGCCAATGATGCTTGACTTGTGAACCGGGGACATGGGGATTTCCAGAATGTTCATGGACCACAAGACACCGTTCTTCTGAATGTTTCCTAGCACTGTTGACATGTAGGAGGCTCTCTCTGCTTGTGGGCTGGGCAGAAACACGTGGTGGTTGGCTGGGCCATAGTTGGCCACCCCTGGCGCAGGCACCTGGTTCAAGTCATGAAAGACCCACCCCTCCCGCAGCCCCTGCCCACCCTCATCCCATTGAGACCAGTATCCCCATTCCTGGTGAGCCAGCACTTGCAGAGCCAGTCAGTGCATGCCCAAAGCCCCTACCCCACGACTCCTCCTGGGAAGCACGTGGGGTCCAGACACACTGGTCTCCCACCCCGCTTCCCTGAGGAATGCATCTGCAGCAGGAGCAGCATCTCCAGGTAGATTCCCCCCGTGACTTCTTGGCTTTGGCTCTTTCCAAAAATTAACGTTGTACGCTCTCCCCCAAGGCATAAAGTCTAAGGCTCAGGGCAATCGGCCCTGTGGGGAGGATCTCAGCTCCTTACAGTACTCTCAGTGAGAGGTTCTGTTGTTAAGCACACAGAACAGAGACCCAGGGAGGCGAAGCAAGTGCCCGCAGTTCCCAGCCCTGCTCCATCAGGAAGCCAGGTTGGACCCCCGTCTGGCTCTGGGGTCGTGTGCTGGTGATCACCGCCCTGTGGCCATTCCCAGTGGTCACAGGCCCTGCGGAGCTTCAGCCCCCATACACACACGAGAGGTGTCCTGAGGACATGTGTGGAACTCCACTTGAGCTGCAGTGTGTCCCCTGGTGCCTGCCTCTCTTGGGCATCTGATGGCCTTTATCTCTTCTCCCCTAATCTTATCCGACACCCACCTCTTCTGCAGACCCCAGTTCCTTCCCCATGGGGTGGCCCTGGGTCCTTCAGGATCCTTGGGATGAGACGTCTCCAAACATGAGCCCTTCTCAGCTGGCATTTGAGGGCGATAGTGCTCTGCACACAGCATCTGCCTGCACAGGTCTCCCAACCAGGAGGGGCCGAGGGGGAAAGAAGTGAGACAATCAGCAGCACCCTGGGAACAAGCCCCGGAGAAGCACCAGTTCCCGCCCAGGTGCGGACAAACACCTCAGAAGGACGGGTCTGCAGGGTTACCCTCCTCAGGCCCTCTGCCTCTTGTCCTGGCTGGGACTGCACCTTTTATGGCCTTCCCTCCCCTGGCCTGTGAGCCCCTGAACACTGGCTCATCCCAAGGCAGCCTCCAAAGGCCGCACCTGGAGGCCCACCGTCTGGCATGCCTGTGGCATGGGGCACAAAGGGCTGGATGGTCCACTTGGGCTCTCTCAGGGCCCATGGTGAGCTCGGCCTGGGTCCCAGGAACCCTGACAGGCACGAGGCACTGACTGAACCTGAAGAAGGCCCCAATTCCAGGTCACCCATGGTGGGAGTGGGCCCCATGGAGCTTGTGTAGACCCTTGACCTGCCACCCTCGGGTAGAAGCCGTCAGGCTGAGCTGGAGAAGGCTCGGAGCCAGCATCTCCCCACCTCTGCTGTCCAGCGCTGCTGCCAGTGCTGACTGGAGACAGCCCAGAGGTGACTGTGAAATGCCTGTCACTGTCCCCAGCCCTGTTTTTGTAGGTTGCAGAGCCAAGACAGCAAATACCACACATCCGGGAGCCGTCCCCCAAGAAGAGCCCCACCACCAACTCCTTCCTGTACCCATGGTGTCCTCTCACTCCTTCCTTCTGGATGGTGGCCCAGAGGGCACAGGAGGGTATAAAGAAGACCTGGAGGGACCCAGGCACAAGGAGACGCCAGCGAAGACTCTCCCGGCCAGGTAAGGTGCTTGGCTCCATGGTGGGGCCCGGTGAGGTCATGCTGGCCCTTGCTTTGGAGTCAGGAGGCCTCTTGTCTTCCCCCAGATTCCTGGGATGCGCCAGCCAGAGACCATGCTGCTGCTGCTGCTCACCCTCGCCCTCCTGGGGGGCCCCACCTGGGCAGGGAGTAAGTCGGTGGGGTCTGCGCCCAATCTCCCCTGCCTCCCTCCAGACTAACTGGTCACAGAACCACCCTGTTCTGGCAAGAGGTGCGGGTCCCCTCTTCTGGCAGAGGTCGCCCCCAGATCACGGCATGGGGATTTTCTCCCCCTTGGTTTTCTCTTCCTTGCAGAGATGTATGGCCCTGGAGGAGGGAAGTATTTCAGCACCACGGAAGACTACGACCATGAAATCACAGGGCTGCGGGTGTCTTCGGCTCTTATGGTGAAAAGGTGAGTAGGGCCGTGGTCATGGGCCCCACACCATGTCCCAACCCGTCCCACAGTTTCAGGAACTCAGGGCAGGGGTTCCTGTAGGCACTTTTCCCACTTCCTGCCCGGCTCCTGCCGATGATTCCCGGCTTGAGCAGAGAAGATCAGATGACCGTCCCCCCACCTTCTCCCTTCAACCCAAACTCAACTCAACCAAAAATGGCCTCTCCATCCCCAAGCCTGATAGGAAGATCAGGGGAAAGTCTGTTCACTTACTGTCAGAGAAGACAGGGGGTGAGGGTCAGAGTGGACCACCGACTGAACATGGGTCACACAAGTGTTAGAGGCAGAAATCCGGGCCATTTCCCTAACATCAAGGTGTCTCTGCTCAAGGTCTGGGATGGGTTTCTGCCTTGCACTTAGGAGTTCTGGGGTCCTGGAGGAGGTCATGGAGGGTGAAGCCCAAGAGCAGAGGAGACAGTGTGTGGGCAGGGCAAGCCGGAGAGCTGCGTCCTAGGAGGGCACCAGGGTGAGGGAGGGACGCAGATGAGCCCCCGGGGGAAGCGCTGCTAAGTGTGGGAAGTCACCTGCCCCTCGGCCGTTAAGCTGCTCTGCTCAGAGTGACTCAGGCTCCTTGGGTCTGGGCTCAGCCAGAGGCAGCTCCTGTGTGGGCCACCATGACAGCAGCCGGTGCCTTCTGGGATCACGGGGACACGGGCACTGCACGGAGCTCTCTTCGTCACCACCTCGGTGACTCCTGCCAACAATCACAGCCACTTTGCAGATGGGGAAACTGTGCCCAGAGAGGCTGGGTAACCAGTTCAAGATTACAGAGCCGGAAAGTGGTAGAACCAGGGTTGGTGACCAGTGAGTCTGTGTCAGGGACCCAAACGCAGATGGTACTGGTCTCTGCATCCCAGGAAGGAGGGTGGGGGCGCTGAGGACCTGGATGTGCTGGGCCATCCCAGATCTGGACATCCAAAGCTTTGCCTCTCTCCCAGTGTCCAGGTGAGACTTGGAGACTCCTGGGATGTTAAACAGGGTGCTTCAGGTGGGCAGACCCAGGAAGTCATCCTGCAGCAAGGCGAACACATCATAAAAGTCGTTGGCGCCTTCAAAGTTTTCCTTCAGGGTATGGCCCTGTGCACCAACAAAGACCGCTGTTTCTATTTTGGGAAGCTTGTTGGGAATTTCTTCTCTGCCTACCCCAGCCAAGAGGGGCAGGTGCTGGTGGGCATCTATGGCGAGTATGGACTCCTCGGCATCAAGAGCATTGGGTTTGAATGGAACTATCCACTAGAGGAGCCGACCACTGAGCCACCAGTTACTTCCACATGTGGATGAAAGGCACCCATGGGTCACTAGGGTGGGGTACAGGGCCATCTGGGAGGTGGTGGCTGATGGCACTGGAGTAACTGAGTCAGGATGCTGAATCTGAATCCACCAATAAATAATGCTTCTGCAGAATCAATGCATCCAGGTTTGGTCCTTGGATCTGGGGTACAACCAAAGCCTTCCCTGCTCCTTGGGGACAAAGGCCCCAGTGCTGGAGTCCAGGGAACGGAGATGAAGGGTAGGGCAGAGGTGACTCTGCCGAGGACAGAAAGACAGCAGCACCACCCCCTCAGGGATGCTGTGGGACCCTGTGTCAGTCCCACAGTCTTTGAGGAGTCAGGCTTCAAGGCCACCACTCCCCACGGGCCCTCACCCCAGACCCATCCAGCGGGCCTCCGCTGGCCACTCAGTCCTGGGCTTCTCTGAGTGTTCAAGGAGCCTCAGGGAAGCCACCCACTCATCCATTCACTCAGCAGACATTTGCCAAGGCCTTGTCCTCACCAGCGTCCCCTGGCACTGGGGGTATAAAGAAAAGGCCCAGTTTCCAGCTGAGGGCAGATGCCTCGTGCGTGGTAGGGGATGGTGCAGAGGCAGATAGTGGCAGTTCACTTTGCCATCTGCATGGATGGGGACACATGCAGCTCATGGTGTGTAGGCACTTTCCCAGGGGTGAGGTGAGGGGGATGTGCTTCAGGGAAGTCTTCCTGGAGGTGGCAATGTCTGAGCTAAGTCTTAAAGGATGAGGGAGGATTAGCCAAGAGGAGACAAGGGGAGGAGGGCATTACAGGTTGAGGGCTCAGCATGAGCAAAGGCACGAGATGCAGACAGCTGGGGACAGCAGGCCTCACACTGCGGTAATTTGTCACAGCAGAAACAGGAAATCAGTACAGGCCCTGGACCCAGCCCATTCTTCATGTCCCCTTCCCAAGTCTCCAAGCCCACATTGGCACTTGCCAAGATCAGAGCCCCAGGGGCCTCCAGGGACAGGGTTTTCAGCCCTTTGGGACCATGATCCACAGAGAGAAATTGATCCTATTTGAGACAAAAGAAACAACACATGTAATGGAACAGCCAAACACTCAGTGATCATCTAATGCAACAGCCAAACACCCAGTGATCAACTAATGCTAAAGCCAAACAGTCAGTGATCAGGGAAAGGGTCAGGTCCTATTCCAGGGGCTCCACCCAAAGTCTGCACCCACAACAATAGAAGGACAGGACTTCATTTACCCTCATTTGCAAAATGAAGAAACTGAGGCACTGCGGGCAAAGTGACTTGTCCTACACAGCAGTTAGAGGCAGAGTTAGAAGTTTGCCTTGAGGTGGCCAAGCTGCAAAGTCTGGCCCCTGAACCTCAGACCTAGGCAAAGATTTCACAACCCAGCTTCATCTTTCTGCATGAGATAACACACTGACATTTTTTTCTCTTCTCTACTTTTATTTTTATTTAATTTTAAATGCTGGTTGAGAGCCACTTCTTAACCTGGGGCCTGTGGACAAAAATCAGAAATCAAAAAAGCAGAGAATCCATGAACTGGGATGGAGGGAACATTTATCTCTTTATTTTTATTATCCTTGACTGAAAATTTTATGTTTCCTTCAGGTGTGAATGTTACCTCATATGCAACGCCCATGAAATGACCACATCAATTACAGGTATTGATTGACTTACGACCTATGACACTTACGACCATTCGACTTTACGACCACAATCGCTAGCCACGACTGCTCCGCGTCTGGCAGCGCAAACGTTGCCCAGCTGGGCGTATGACAGTGCGGACCAGCTTCCGGCAGCACTACCATCTCCGCGTGCATATAGCCTACTCAACTTACGAGCAAATCGTGTTACGACCAGTCGGTTGGACCCAATCGTGGTTGTAAGTCAAGCACTAGCTGTACTGTGGTCACAGACACCTTGAAACTTATACTCGTCACCACTTCAAAATTACGACAATCAGATCTGCCATTCAGCATGTTGGTAATCAAAGCCCAGGCATAGAACACATTTAAGAAAATATTTTGACAAGCGTATCTGTAGTTGCTTCGCAGAAGAAACCCCTTTCCTTTCTGCAAGAGAAATGAGAAGTCCACGGGGTCAACTGGGGGCCTCCCTTGGACCAGCCCAGCAGTTCCATTAGTTACTGTTTACTTCTCAAAGGTCTTTTTGCTTTGTTTTGTTTTGTTTTTCTCTTCTGAGCAAGTTAAGCCTGGAGATCAAAGTTGTTTTTTTTTTTTTTTTTTTTTTTTT